TGATGAAGGATGTGATGTCGAGTCTTCAGCAGACGAACAGTGAGAAGATTCTGCTGAGCTGGGTGAGGAACTGCACCCGGAGCTACAACAGCGTCAACGTGCTCAACTTCACCAGCAGCTGGGCTGACGGACTCGCCTTTAACGCCATCCTACACCACTTCAGGTCACACACACACCACACACACACACACACACACACACCAAACACACCACACACACACACACACACACACACACACACACACACACACACAGGTCGCTGTGGTTGTTCTCTCTTGGGAAAGGTTGTGGAGCGCATTGATTAGGTCAAAGGTCGAGAGAGTTTGTGTTCATAAGCTGTTCACTCTGTTTAGGCTGATCATGTCAAACACGAGTCTGCAGAAACACACACACACACAAACACACACACACACTTGCCCGCTTTCTCATATACACACTTTTCTCTTTCTCTGTTTTTCCCTTTTCTAAAGTATGACTGTGCACAAATTCACAAAAACATAACTCACACTCTCTCACACACACTCAAACACATTTAAAGGCACACACACACACACACACACACACACACACACACACAGACACACACACACACACACACACACAAATATGCACACACACCCCTACACATACATAACACAAACTCATAAATGTACACACACTCAAGAATAAGCACATTTATGAACACACACACACATACATACATAACACAACTATACATACTTAGTCCCTTATTTATCAGGGTTCGCCACAGCGGAATGAACCACCAACTATTCCAGCATATTTTTATGCAGCGGATGCCCTTCCAGTTGCAACGCAGTACTGGGAAACACCCATACACACTCATTCACACACACACTCATGCACTACGGCCGATTTAGTTGATCAGTTCCCCTATAGCGCATGTGTTTGGACTGTGGGGGAAACTGGAGCAGCCGGAGGAAACCCACACCAACACAGGGAGAACATGCAAACTCCACAAAGAAATGCCAACTGACCCAGCTGGGACTCGAACCAGCAACCTTCTTATTGAGCAACCGCGCCGCCCCTAATTCGTGAATTCAAAACAGCATTGGTAAATGCACACGTCCAGCTCGTTTGGGGAAACACGTATGATCCTTCACATGTGAATTCACAATTAGGCTTTTGTAAATGTGAAATGTGCTGTGCCGGTATGAGCTTTACTTTTGCAAATGTTTTATATTTCAGACTGGCTTCACAGTTAAAGGGATAAACTTAGAGGCTGAAACTGCTGACTTAGAGTAAGTGCTCACTTCACATCTGAACTTCATTGCAGGCCTCATGGCTTCAGCTGGGAGAAGGTGGTCAGTCTGACGCCTGTGGAGAGACTGGAGCACGCTTTCACCTTCGCCAAAGACCAGCTCAACATCGAGAAGCTGCTGGATCCAGAAGGTAAAACAGAGTCCTATTAAAGACCTCTGATTATTAGCATTTATTTACTAATTCCAGACATTTATATGTGTGTCAGACACGTCGCACACCTTATCACCCCCCCTCCCCCCTGATGCACTCGTCTATCGTGATGTTTCATTAGACATTGTA